TTCGTCTCTTTTCCAAGGTTGCAGTAAGCAGCTAAAGCTGCATAATTGGCATTGATGTAAGGCGCTATTTTGACAAAAGAACAACTAAAACGATCAATTATCGACGTTGCTTCTTTTCTTCTTAAGTTTTTGCCGATATGTTAAACAAAAAAAGAAAACGAACCATTTGATTCCGCTCTTCCTAAAGCGCGTTAATTTGCATTGAGTTTTGCACCGTTTCATACATGTTTCAAAAATAACTCAACCTTCTGAAAAACTAAAGTTACAGATATGTTCGCGGCATTTATGGCAATGATAGTGATGCTCCTGTGGAGTGAAAGTGAGTGCAAAATTTTTAGAGGCCAAATAGTAGGACCACGAAAAGTTATCTCGAAGGAGATCTGGTCTGGTGGGCGTAAATTCTAGATAAATTGACCCTATTGTTCAAGCATAATTATTCATATCTGCAGGTGAGCCAACGATTCTTAAAAGGGAACTGAATCTACTGGACATGTTACGAACACCGCTGATGCTCAGCTTCAACAGAAATATCGCTTTCATACCGGTAGGAAAGTCTAATTTGTTTATTTTGTTAAGGTATCAAGTGCTTTTAGCAGGGAGAAAGACGAGAGAAAAACTACATGCGTCGCTTACTCGAACTGCGAGGGCTACGGTCAGTTAAACGACTTCGAAACAGGGAACAGAATCAGTAACTGCTTAATTAACCGTAAAAGATGTGAAGATTGTTTTCTAAAACTGCGAGGAGATTTAGAGTAACAAGTTTGTAAATTGTTAATGATGTCTACAGAGGTTGTTGCCTATCAGCTGCAATAAAGTTTAGATTTAAATAAAGGAAAGAGTATAGTGAATGACAGATATAGAGGAATAGACATATGAATAACAGGTATGATTTATATATTTTTAAAGCGCTTGTGAATTCATGCAAATGACTGTTTTATAAGAAGTGTGCGAGCTGCAGTGATCGGCAGATATTCCGATCTAACAATAAGAAAAAAAGCAACACCGTATATATTGGCATACCCAGAAACTTCTAAATATCGTTTAAGCCGTTTGTTTATCGCTTGACCTTATAAATCTGCCTGATAGCTAATATAATTTCCTTAC